ATGCACAGGGGTTACTCCTGGCTCATGCACTCAGGAATTACTCCTGGTGGTGCTCAGAGGACCATATGGGATGCTGGGAATTGAACTCAGGTCTGCGAAGTGCAAGACAAACGCCCTACCCGCTGTGCTATCACTCCAGCCCCTAATCTTCATTTTAAAGCTTGACCATTTCGTCCACTAAAACATTGTCAGGGCGCATATGCTGCCCGAGCCCATCCATGTGCTGCTTGTGCCCATGTGGCCGAGGACATGCAGTTCCCGAGTACGTGTCACCTGCATCTCCCCTCTTGAGATGTGGACTTTCATGCTTTTATGTCTAATGTTGGGATGTGTCTAGGGGCTCTCCGACCACAGTCTCTCTTGAGTGCATTGTTCTCTCTCTCTCTCTCTCTCTCTCTCTCTCTCTCTCTCTCTCTCTCCCTCCCTCCCTCCCTCTCCCCCGCCACTCCCCCTCAAAAGTCCTCCAAATAAAATCTATTTACTTCAAAAAACAAATCGTTAGTAGGAAAATAAAAAGAAAACATTACTTCTGTCTCCCAGTCTTTTTTTTAAAGTGTGACAGCAAAATGTCAGTGGCCTTTGGGTGTCTAAAAACACAATCTCACACCTCTAAGCTTAGGAAGGAGAGCTGGGTTTAGCAAGGAGAACACGCAGGTGACAGTTACTGGACAAAACAGAGACACTGAAACGGGTGAGGGTGCTAATTTCAGTTACCCACCAATGCTGAGGAGTGAAGTAAAAGGAACTGGGTTTACTGCCAGACTCTCGGGGGCTCTCGCAGGCCACTTCCTCATTTTCACAACAGAGAGCGAGCCTCTAAAAAGCTACTTCAATGGCTCCAGCAGTGAGTGACATGAAATGATATGTGGACAGTACTGAACAGGTCTGATAACACGAGCAAACGGTAGACACTGCTGTGGCTAAGAGACGGGTGTGTGTGTGTGTGTGTGTGTGTGTGTGTGTGTGTAACACTTAACAAGTAGTTCTCTGAGAACTATTACTACCACAGCACTGCCTGCAAAGCGGGTCCAAGTGCTCTGCTACTAAAGTAAGAACAAGCAGTAAGGGGACGAGAGCAATAAGACAGCGGAGGGCACTTGTCTTGCATATCCAACCTGGGTTCCATCACTAGCAACCCGTATGATCCCCTAAGCCCCACAGGAGTGATGCCTGAGCACAGAGCCAAAAGTGATCCCTGAGCGCCATGGGTATAGCCCAAAACCAAAAATCAAAAGGGACCAGGAAGATAGTACAACAGTCTGAGTACTTGCCTTGCACATGGCCATCGCAGGTTCGATTCCCGGCACCCCATGTGGTCCCCCCAAGTTCTATCAGCAATGCTCTCAGAGCACAGAATCAGGAGTAAGTCCTGCGCATAACTGGATGTGCCTCCTCCCACCACCAAAAAAGAAAAAAAAAACTCTGAAAACACCCAAGAAAGAGCAATGGGAAGGCCACGACACTGCAGTCATCATTAAGAAGGACGCATGGTTCTCTCTTCTCCAGCGATCATCACATCTTACATTTCTAAAATTCTCCAAGAGATTCCCAAAAATAAAAAAACAACACGGCTGGAGAGTCAGTCCAGGGGGTCAGATGATAGTACAAGTGTGCAACAAAACCCGGCTTGGTCCCAGGGACCACACAGCATCCACAGAGAACCACCAGGCGTGGCCACAAAACCAGAGAGCCCGTCTCGACTCCACCCGGAGAGCGAAGAAGCCAGACATGCCTGTCAGGTTCCGAGGGCAGGCGCTGGGGCTGTGTTCAGCTCTTTCCATGGAGGGATTGTCACACAGATTCACCCTGCAAGCAGACGGCCAATGTGAGCCCTCGCTCAAAGGACAGCACGCCTGACGCTCTGCTCTTGAACTGTCATGTTTTCTCAAGCAGCCGCCAGCTCTCGGCTCAGAAAAGAAGCGCACACAGGCTGCTGAGAGAGTTCGACGGGCCTGAGCTATGCAGGAGCTTCTGGCTCCGGCACTGCACGGTCTCCCACACATCGCCAGGAGCAAGAGAGAGAAAAGGAAAGGCAGAGTGTGGGCCCAGAGCCTTTTGCCCACACTCTGCAGTGGCAAGAGTTTCTGTCCCTCCAGGGCTGGACATCCGCAGTGAGAGCCTTTACCGCTTAACAAGTCACTTCAACCGAATGGGGTCAGGTCAGAGAAGAGGTTTTCAGCTGGAAGATAAGTTACAAGGCTGAAGAGCAGGAGGCAGGGGAAGCGAGGGCAGAGCAAGCCACGATAAGGAATAAAGTCAATGGGGTCTTTGGATTCTAGCCCTATTGCCCACTAACACCACCCAGGGGGCGCACCCTGGGAAGGCCAGGAGAGGCAGGAACACAGCGCTGCCCTCTCACACCCTCATCTCCCCTCCTTGTCAGTACACTGTCTCAAAAGTTGAGCAGAGTTAGGTTTCTTCTCTTCCAGAGGCTGTCACAGAATATCTGCTCTGGTTCCTCCTTCTAGAAGCCTACCAGATTAACCTGCAGGCATCTGTGGCTCACTGGAGGAAACCGAGAGTCGGGAGACCCAAACTGCTCAGAGTGGGAAGCAGGGAGGGTTGGTGGCAGGCAGGGACAGCCCCGAGTTCCAAACCCCAGCACCCAGAGCCTCTTCTTCGAGCTCTGGAACTCTATTGGCCAGAGCAAGTGGCACCACCACGTGTCTGTAAATCAGCAGGGGCATTCTCCCTGCAGCGTGGTCCACAGCGAGATCTAATTTTAGGCCTCCAGTCTTTTTACAGGAACATCACCCACTTGTCCACCTGCCCCACAAAGAGGACAGGAAATCAACAAGTGACAGCTGTTCACACACAAAGACGACGCTCCTGTTGCTACGTCGTTCCAGCGGCCCAGCACTTGCAGCACACACTGACAAGCTGGCATCAGGGCTGCCCAGTGAGACCCGGCCGGGCCTCTCAGACTGCTGCCTCGTTGGCCCTGCCCACCTTTGCAGAACCTTTCCGTAGGTGAGCCCCAACCCAAACCTGATGCCTTCAGCATTTCTCTAGGTCTTGGCAATCTTTTATTTTTAACTTCAACTGAGTTACTCCGCTCACCCTGATGGCATGAGGGGATTCGCAGGTTTTAACTTCCTTATGCACAAGAAAGAAGAAAAGCACCTGCAAGGTAACAGAAGCATATGCAAACTTTCCACCAATCCCAGACAGTTTCCACATCATTACCTAGCTAGAACTGCATTCAGAGTTCCACAGAACCTGGGAGAAAAGTTGTTACAGACAGGTGAGAAGAGACTTGTGGTCCCAAGGCAATGAATGACTCAGGGACGAGCTTGGCGAATCAAATTTTTTCAGGCGGAAGGCATAGTCACACAGCCCTCAGCCTCATGCATTTGGACAGCTGCAGATAATGAATGTGCTTGCAGTTATTAGCTCATTCGTCCAACAAATATTTACTTAGCACCTAGTGAGTGTCAGGCTTGGGCTGGCCACAGACCACACATTAGCCCTTTGCTCTAGCAGAAGCCGCTTGCCCCCAATGGCATCTAAGGGAGAGGCTTGTTTCTGGGATGATGATGAAGACACTCTTTGAAGGCTGCTCCTCCACAAGCCAGACTCTAGTTATCTGCTCTGGGCTGCTCCTCCTAGGCACCCCTGCAGTCTCCTCCTTCAGACTGGAAGCTCCTTGAAGGAGACAAGGCTGTCTGTTCAGCACTGTGCTTCACAACAGCCAACAAAAAGTCCACGACACACACCTGAAATAGCGAGCAAAGACTTCTATTCTTCAAGGGTCTTCACTGTTCCTGAAGGCTTTGCCCCCACATAAACGTGATGACATTCTAGAAAGTCAAGAATGGGGGACTGAAGAAAGAAAGAAAGAAAGAAAGAAAGAAAGAAAGAAAGAAAGAAAGAAAGGAAGGAAGGAAGGAAGGAAGGAAGGAGAGAAAGAGAAAAAGAAAAAGAAAGGAGAGAGAGGAGAGAAAGAAAGAAAGGAGAGAAAGAGAAAGAGAAAAAGAAAAAGAAAGGAGAGAAAGAAAGAGAAAGAGAAAAAGAAAAAGAAAGGAGAGAAAGGAGAGAAAGAAAGAGAAAAAGAAAAAGAAAGGAGAGAAAGAAAGGAGAGAAAGAGAAAAAGAAAAGAGAGAAAGAAAGAAAGAAAGGAGAGAAAGAAAAGAAAGGAGAGAAAGAAAAGAAGAAAGAAAGAAAGAAAGAAAGAAAGAAAGAAAGAAAGAAAGAAAGAAAGAAAGAAAGAAAACCTATAACCTATGAGTGCAGGCTGGGAACTTGCAAAGCTCCAAAGTGCAACCACAGACCCCTGGGTGCAGCCACGGGCCACAGCTGGCATCTCAGAAGAATGTTTCCCCCACTCTGAGGGAAAGAGTGGGAGAAGGAACCCGGGAGGAGGGGGGGGGGGCATAGAGGGAGGGAGAGAGGGCCACACCCGGCGATGCTCAGGGGTTACTCTGCACTCAGGAATCACTCCTGGCGGTTCTGGGGGACCCTATATAATGCTGGGGGTGTCGAAGCCCTGGCAAACGCCCTCCCCGCTGCGCTATCTGGCACAAGCTCGCGCGTCCCCTCGGCCAGGAGAAAGGAACTCTTACCGTGCAGGGCCCGAGGAGGAGAGCAGATGAGTGAGGCCCCAAGCGGCGCGTGCCCCTGCCCCGCCTCCTCTCCGGACATGCCTGGACACTTTTCCTCCCTACAAGGCGTCTTTTTCCCTTTCCTCCTTAACATTAGCAGAAACAGGGGGCTGATGAAGAGCAGCCTTAGATCAAGGGCCGAGAGGGAAGCGAGGAAGGTGAGGAAGAAGTTCGGGAGGAGCAGGAGGCGGCCAGCTTCCCTCCAGCTCCTTCCCCAACTTGGCGCCGAACCTGCATTTCCGAACCGTTTCCTTCCAGTTCCCCTGGGCGCCAGGAGCTCCAGGGCGGAGGGGAGAAGGTCCCCCGGGGGCCCGCCCGGGGACCCGGGAAGCCGAGTGTCCGGGCCGCTCCCGAGGACGGTCCCTGCGCGGTGCCCGCCTCCCCCCGCGCCCCACTTACCCCGAGGTGCAGCGGCAAGGCCTGAGGCCGAGCGGGCTCCCCGCGGGCTGCAGGCGCCTCCGGGGCCCCGGGACCCCCGGGCTGGAGCCGATCGGAGCCGCCCCGCCGCGTCTGCGGCTCTTTTTTCCGGGTTAATTACGTCTCGCATTAAGGCAAAGCCAGCCCCGGATGTGAGTACAATGCTCGGGAGCCCGCGGGGGAGGAGAGGGGTGCCGGGGCGGGGCGGCCCGCAGGTGGGGTCCCCGACGCCGCGCCCCGCAGCAGGTGTCAGCGCGCGCGCCTCTCCCGGCCCCCGGGGGCCCGAGGGTCAGGGGCCCCACCCAGCAGCCCTGAGCTCGGGGCGGCCCCCAGGGGAGCTGCGGGCTCGGGGGACGTTTCCAGAGCGCAGCCCGGACGCCCCCCGCGGCCCCGACGCCCCCAGCGCACTGGGAAACGGGCAGCAGGCGGCGCGTCCGCAGGGCGGGCCGGAGGGCAGCGGTCTCCCCGCCCGGCCCCGCTCCCCGGCCCAGCGAGGAAACCGAGGCAGCCCAGCGAGGTTCCGGGCGAGGTTCCGGCAGGTTCTGGGGCCCGCCTCCCACGTGGGCAGACAGGGGAACGCGCAGGAAGGCGGGCGTGCAACTCGGACCCGGGCGCACACGCGCGCCTGCAGACTCGGGGGGAGGTCCGGGGCCTGGGGGAAGGGGCCCGACGCTCCCGTAGAAACGGGGTGTTCCAGGGGCAGAGCCGCATCCACTGGGGGTGTTGGGGTAGGGGCCTGACTGATGAGGACCCTCCAGAACCCGGGGTCGCAAAGCCCAGAGTTGGGGGCAGGAGAGGAGCCAGGAGGGCAGGAGACACGCTCAACCCTCGCACACAGCCCGAAACAGCGGTGATGAAACCACCCGCTTCCTCTTGCATTTCGATTGCTAAAGCAGCAAGGAGCCAGCCAGCCAGCCACCAGGTGTGAAACCAGGACTTCACTGCCTTAGCATATTCTGCTTTGAGGAAGAGAAGCGGAACGTGGGAGGCGGGAAACACGTTTTCTTTGAAATAAATATACGTAGGATTCTGAGTTTTGGTTTTGATTTTTGGGCAGGGCGATTTTTTTTCATCACCCATCAGTTCCAGCCAATGACACGCTCACTAGAACTAGACAAACCAGGGTTTGAATCCCCAGCCCCCAGCCTCTCTGCTTTGTTTGATGAGCTGCTTTGGTTGACATGCTTAACATTTCGCGCTCTACCACTGGGTCACCATGAAGAGTCAATGAATCAACATTTGAAAATGTTTAGGTCGTGACCAGGGAACATGAAGTAGGTGCTCTGTCAATGTTTTCCCACTTAAAAACTAGGTTATCGTTTGCCCAGTGAAGAGGAACAAAATTCCACCTCTAAGAATATTTTATAAATAACCCAAAGTGAAAGTGAGGGTTTCCAATATGATCAAGGAGATGGAGGGCTCAGGTTTCATGGCATGGTTCATAGAGCCCATACAACCCCGCTTTCTGGGAAGCCTGCCTGAGATAGTCACAGACCTCAGGGGACAACCTGAGCGCTTTGGGTATGGGTACTTCAGGGCAAAGAAGAGCCAACGTCCTTGGGTCTCCTTGAGAAGACTCAAAGACTAACCCTCCTGAGAATGCCATTGAGATGAAGCAGAGAGTTCTGTCAGCCTTTGGAGGAACAAGACCCCTCTCTGTAGGTGGGAGTTGGGGGGCATATCCTCAGGAAGAAAAAAACAGCTCTGAAATCGGCACAATTTGACTCCAGTGAGAAAGAGGCCAAAAGGGTTGAACTGAGAGGAAGCTCATGATCACCTTGGATTATTTCACTGGATGTCTCCCTTCTTGCTGTATTTGCTCAGGCTAGGCTCAGCTGTTAGGCTGCCGTGTGTGTCTTGTCTTGCTCCTACTTCGTAATCCCTGGATATCTGAGTGCTATTTCTGAGGTCACACTGCCCCTTGGGTCAGCTCTGCAAAGCAGGCATCAGTCCAGTCTGCACCCTCTCGAATCCTTTCGCCACTTCTCGACAGACGTATTTCCAAAGTACTTCCATGTCCTGAATTTACGAATTAATTCTTGTCAGTGCAATAAATAGCCCTGGTATTTGAAAACACGACTGCCTACGGGTAAAGGAATGGCCAAAAAAAAAAAAGAAAAAAAGAACAGAAAAGAAAAAGAAAGAAAGAAAGAAAGACTGGTGGGACTTTCTCAGCAGTTATTTCAGTCCCGGGGGCAGCAGTGCGAGATGAATTTCGGCAGTTTGTTCCTTTTCTTTGCAGCTACATAGTGGCAGTTGGTTCTAGAACCCACATTGATCACCTCAGAATCATGTGGTGTCAGTACAGAAATGTTTCCAACAAAGATTTTTCTGGCCCAGAACCTAAGACTCTAAACAGAAAGCCTTTGGCTCTGCTCAAGCCATTAATTTATGCACTTTCTACTCATTTTCAAAGCAGATGGCTGAGTAATCAGATGACCGAATAACCTTCAGAAGTGAGCTACTGCTGGAGAGGGGCGTACTGCACTGTTCCCTGTACTCAGAGATACTCCTTAGGAAAGGTACCAGGCTGCAGTGATGCCCAATTAGTTCCACTGAGAGAAATGTGGTACTGAAAAGGCCAAGACCACAGACTGACCTGGTTTGGGCGAGTTAATTTCACCCCTGGAATAAACTTCTCCAAGGCTACATGTTACATCATCAATGCATAATATATAACTGGTCTTTTTATACAGAGTTACTATTGATTTAGGTAGCAAAGTCTGACTGGTTCTGTATCATCCATTTCCAGGATGATTACTCAAACTATTCTTCTCTTCCATCCTAATCATTCAATAATTATATGAACTCATTACCTCTTTCCATATACTTCCTCGATATAAATAATTTTACAAACTTATTTTGGTGTTGGGGGTCACACCCAACAGTGCTCAGAGCTCACTCTGGCTCTAGGCTCAGGGATCATTCCTGGCAGAACTGGGGTGGGAGGCATATGGGTACCAAAAGTCAGACCAAAGTCAGTCGCATGCAAGGCAAGTACACTGCCAGCTGTACTATCTGGCAAGCCCCTCTCTTATTTTTTTTTAATTCTCTCCTTTACCTGGGGCTGGATAATGGCACTGTCAGATGGATACACTGGGCACTAAGGTTAAGCTCGCAGCTTATTCTGGGCTGTTTCAGTGGGCTCTGAAAGCCACTGAACCATTTTGGGGGTTTCTTCCTTCTGTCTTCCAACTGTGGGAGCAGGTACTAACATGACAAAGGCATTAGTCACAGGGACCAAGTCTAGATACAAACTTCTGCAACCTTATATCTGAGCCTTCACTTGTAACAATAGTTTGTAACAGTAGAGTTTTGAAGTAGAATTTTAAAGCATAAGACATACTTCCTTCTACATGTTAATAACAATTGTCACATACAGTCTCCACAATTCTATTTCCAAGCATGTCTTGGAAAAGGTATATTTTTTATGCCAAAAAGGCATATGTTTCAATATACATATAAAATCTACACGCGGCCAACACGGCCGACCCGAGTTCAATTCCTCCGCCCCTCTCGGGGAGCCCAGCAAGCTACCAAGAGTATCTTGCCTGCACAGCAAAGTCTGGCAATCTACCCGTGACATATTCGATATGCCAAACACAGTAACAAGTCTCACAATGTTACTGGGCCCGCTCGAGCAAATTGATGAACAACGGGAGGACAGTGACAGTGACAGTGATAGTAGAAAATATATTCTGTATATACCACATACTACTGCAGCATTATTTATAACGGTAACAATTATAAATCACTCTCATGCTATCATGGAATTCATAACTACTTGTACATTTATTTAATTTTGGGGTGAGGGTGGGAGTTACACCTAGCAGTGCTCAGAGCTTACTCCTGGCTCTGTGCTCAGGGATCATTCTTGGCAGAGCTTGGGGAACCATACATGGTACCAGGGATTGAACCCTGGATCAGCTGCATGCAAGGTGAGTAACTTGGTCCCTATATTGTCTTTCTGGCTCCTACATCCTTATAATCTTATATCATGTTACTGTTTTCTAAATATGAGATACATCTCTCTATGGAAAATATTGATATTTTAAGTGGGAAAATGTGCAGAGCTATTTGTGCAGTGTAACCCCATTTCTATAAATAACAGATTATATATGTTTAGTACATAATAGAATACTAATTTCAAATAATTAACAGTTCTCTTGAGCAGGGATTGAGGGGTTAGAGAGGTGGATCTGAACTTCTAAGAGATATTTTATAATCTTTAATAGTGTTTGCACTATGTATGCATACCATTGGCTATCAAAGAGGACAATAATTGGTCAATTACTTATTTATGTCTTGGGAGAGGATCACAAGTAGTGATCAGGCAATTCTCAGCCAACCTGGTCAATGGTTCATTGCAAGAGCCCTACCTGGGGCCATCCTGGCAGTGCTCAAGTGTATCTAGAACCACACACCCAGTGATCCCCAGACTCCTCCCAGGCAGCACTGTATAATGCTCAGGAGACCATATTGCCAGGAATCAAACCAGGATAAGAAATAGGCAAGACATGAGTCTTAACCCTTGCATGATCTCTTTGGGTTCCCTCAACCCTATTTATATATTTATTTTAAAAATTTTAGTAGTGATTTGTGATCCAGAGACTCAGAAATGAGTCTCGGAACCAAGCAGCTTGCTCCAAGTTCTGGACCTTGCCCCAGGCTGATCTCACTGGACGCCTCAGAAGGGAGTGGGCGTCCTCTGGCCACCTACACCAGGTGAACACCAGCAGCCGCAAACCTCCAGAAACCAATTGCCGCCACCATCATGGCTGATCTTCACAAGCTCCTCCTGGGCCCCCAAGCAAGAGACTAAATCCGGTGAAACATCCAGGTATGTGGGACCAGTGACTGAAAACGCCATGCCTCAAGGGGTTGGGACTGGGCCATCCCTTCCCATCTCCCCTCCCCTCCCCTCTGGGGTCCTGGTTGTCAAGTCCACGAACTGCCTCCGGGTACCATTTAAGCACATTAACTGCCATGATACAGAGATTCAAAAGTGAATCTCGGAACTGAGCAGCTTGATGCAGGGATGGCTCCTGACTCCAATTATTTAAATTTTTATTTAAATTTTTATGTTCCCAAGAGCGTGTGGTTGCTTTTGTGGCCGTGCTTTTTTGTTGAATTACTGTGAGACAGACCCTTAAAGACATCTTATACTATTATTAACAAGCAATACAGAATAAATTATCTAGCATCTGCCTGTGGAACAGGCTTGAGTGGTAGTGGGAAACTTCAAAATAATGGTAGTAGGAAGGAGTAATGTGGTGGG